TGGGACAGACCTCCAGCTAAGCAGCATGGTGTGGTTATCAAAGCCCCTCGCCTGCACAGGGCAGATAACCAGGGAGGGGGTAATGCCTTCTAAGGCATTCACAGCTCACTAGACACCTGCTGTGTGCCAAGCCCCAGGGGTATACAAAAATGATATCCTTTATCCTTAAGTGACTCTGATGTAGTTAGTCCTATGAGACCCACTCTACAGGTGAGACTACCGAAGACTAGAGAGCCTGAGAGAATCATCCAAGTTACAGCTAGCAGAGAATAGATCTTTGACTGGAACACATGTGTTTCTGGCTCTGAAACCCATGTAAGATAGGAGAGCCATGGAAGGGAAGGGGTGGGGAGTGGAGAGTGAGAAAAGAAACATGACACAAAGAAGGTATCAGTGGGCAGGACCGTTCCAGCTGGGGTTCAAGGTCACAGACTGGGTCACCAGAGTGGTCCAGGGTCCAGACCTGCAACACTACTCCTTATGCAGTGACTTACCCATAGTGTCCTTCTTGGAGTCCCTTCCCAGCAGTAACCTTCTCCTCCCCACAAAACAGGCCCCCCTGCAAGCTTTCATCAGACAAGCCAGGGCTGGAAGACCCCAAGAAGTACTCTGCTCCCCCATCCTGTTCCTCCTCCTCCCTATTTCAAGCAGGTCCAGCCATCCCCTGTTCCCAGATCCCTCCTTACCCTCTTCAAGAACAGTCTTACTAGCTGTTAGTTGTCTCCATGGTAACAACAGAGGGCAGGCCCTGGGAGAGGAGGCTTCTGGGAAATGTAGTTTTCTGTGGTTGCCCTGGGTCTAGTTCCCCAACCACCACCACCATAGTGTGCTGGATGGTAGAGTATCTGAGTGCAAGGGCTTATCATGCTTCTAGGAATTTTTGTGAGCTAGTTGTCAAACACAGCATCATTAAATGATTAAAAAAAAAAAACAACCTCCAATGAAGTGTCTTAGTTATTGCTGTGAAGAGACACCATGACCAAGGCAACTTCAAAAATTTATTAGGACTCAAGCAAGGTTCCAAAGGGTTAGAATCCATGATTCATGGCAGGGAGCATGGCAGCGGGCTGGCTGGTTTGGCACTGGAACAGTAGCTGAGTGTTCACATCCTGATCTACAGGCACAGGGCAGGGAATGGGGTAGCTAACTGGGAATGGCATGAGCTTTTGAAAGCTCAAGGCACAGCCCCAGTGACACACCTCCTCCAATGAAACCTCACTTCCTCCCACGAAGCCACACGTCCTAATCCTTCTAAATCGTTCCACCGACTGGGGACCACCAAACTTTTAAATACATGAGCCTTTGGGGGTCATTCTCATTCAGACCACCACACAGAGAACTTTTATTAAAAACAAAAGCAGTAAATGCCCAAAGTTCATCATTTCCCAGTTATTCGACTGTTTTCTGTGTACTTGTAATTTTGTGCTGACCCATGCCACGTGGGTGCAGTGAGAATACAGCTACTTCCCTCTTCCCTGCTCTGTCCAGGGATGTCCGAGCAAGAGCTTAAAACTCAAGGTGGGCTAGTTACACCAGGGGAATTGGAAAAGGCTACAGACCAAGGCTCCTCTTGGGGAGCAAACATCCCTGCCCCAGGAGAGGTAGCCTTCACCAAGACATCTGGAAGCCAGTGTGGGATCTAGGGTGGCAGGCTGCCTGACCGAGTGTGTGCTTTAGGCTGACTTGGGCTTAGAAGCAAGTGCCTTTAACCTTAAAGCTACCCCACCTGCCTTTCCTGAGGGAGGGTCACAGCGAGCTTCTTGTCATCTCCTCCTCAGAAGTCACTTTTGCCAGACGATGACAGAAGCGTCCTGCCTATCAGTCCCTGATGGGCACATTTAGGATGTGCTTGGATTCAGTCTGGGTGCTCTGCTGGCCACTGGGAGCTGCTTTTGTGGGGACTCTAGAAAATGAGAGGTCTCAGCCCCACAGCTTCTCCCTGGCCTCAGAGAAGAGTCGTCCCTTCCCATCTACATCAGGAAGCCAGTCAATGGGGCTGTAGCTTGGTTGGCCACATCCCAGTGAGCCTGCCTGGGAAAGCCACCGCCTGGGTTCCCTTGAGGTCCAGGGTGGGAACTTGAAGATAGTTCTGAGACAGAGTCTTGCAATGTAATTGTCTTAGTCACTGATCTATTGCTGTGAGGAGACACCATGACCAAGGCAACTCTTACAAATGAAAACATTTAATCGGGGGCTTGCTTACAGTTTCAGGGCATTAGTCCATTATCATCATGGAGGGAAGCAGGCAGGCATGGTGCTGGAGCAGTAGCTGAGAGCTTTATATCCTGATTCCCAGGCAACAGGGAGAGAGAGAGAGAGAGAGACAGAGACAGAGAGGAGACAGAGACACATAACACTGGGCCTGGCAGGGGCTTTTGAAACTCAAAGCCTGCTCCTAGTGGCACACCTCTCCAACAAGGCCACACCTCCTAACCCTTCCAGCAATTCTTTAACTAGGGACGAAGCATTCAAATATATGAGCCTATGGGGCCCATTCTCATTAAACCCCCACAGGAGCCAGGCTGGCCTGGACCCCGCCATCCTCCTGTGTCCACAGTCTCCTTCAGTGTTGCCCATTGCCTTTGCGTTGGTTCCACATGCTCTTGCACATTGGGGTTACAGGCATGTGCTTTCCTGAATCCAGGAATGGTCCTGGGAGGAGCTGGCACCCCAGAAGGCACCAGTCTGGCTTCAGCCCCGCCTGTGGAGGGGCTTTGAGTGGACAGGTTGCAGTTCCTCTCTGACTGCATTTCCACACCCCAGCACCCTTAGCCAGTCATTCTTTAAGTGGAGGTGGGGGAGGAATGGGGGGACACTAGGAATCAGGGCTGGCAGTTTATTTTGCCACATTCCCAATCCTCTCAGGACAGGGTGGGGGCTCTATAATACCTATTTTAGGTGGGGCAAAGCTTAGGTTCTGAGAGGTGAGGCCCCATGCCCAGTGTCACCCAGCTCCAGAGTAACAGAGCCAAGATTCAAATCCGGGCCTGTCAGAGTCTGGAGCAGCTGTTTCCCAGATGACTCCATCATCAGCTCTGAGGCCTGAAAAACACCTGTGACGATAAGGCCCAAAGACCCCAAGCCTGTCCACTGAAACAGACTGTGGCTCCACAGACTCCATGTTCAAAGCACTGGATTCGGATCCTCCTCCAGAATACAACAGCAGCCTTCTTGCCTCCCTTCCTGTTATTAGCCAGAAGCCAGGAGACAAGGATGCCCTGGGGCTGCCAGCATGCCCAGTTGGGCAGGAAGGGGCTGGCAGCCCACAGCCTAGGCATATATAATGGCCTGCTGGGAAAGGGGGCAATGGGGTGGGGGGGCACAGAAAGCTAGGTAGAGAGAAAGCCCTGGGAAGTGAGGGGTACTCCGCGGGCCAAGGCAGGGCAGGGGTGGAGCTACTCACCACTGTGTTAGTCAGGGGTCTCTAAAGGGACAGAACTGAATATATATGGGATTGTTAGATTGCCTTACAGGAAGGATCCGGTCCACGCAGCCCAACAATGACGGCCTCACACTAGAGAGGCCGAGAATCTGGAAACTGCTAGATGTTTTAGCAGTCCCAGGCTGATGATGAAGGCCTAGAGGTTCCTGGAGAGCTGATGGTCTTCTGTCTACATTGGATTCCCAAAGAAACTGGTTCTAGTATTAACTAAAGAACACCAAAGCAACAGGCCAGGAACAGTGAGGGCAATCAGGCAAAGAAGCCAACTTTCTTCCTTCCTTGTCCTTTTATCTGGGGCCAGAAAGTGCCACTGACTTAGGGCTCAACTAATCTGATCTGGAAAAATCCCTTAAGGTGGATTTTAGTTGATTGCAGATGCAGTCAAGTTGGCAGTAAAGATTAGCCCTGGCCCCACGCCTCTGTTATCATTTTCTTTGTTTTTTGAGCCAAAGTCTCACTGTGTATCCTAAGCTAGCCTTGAACTTAGAATGATGCCCACGGTTGCCCCGAGTGCTGGGGCTGCAGGGTAACCCACCATATCTGGCTTTCTCTATTATTTCTTCTGCTTTTTGCTTCTCATCGAGGCTGGAGAAAGAGGGAATTAAGGAGATATGGGGGGGGGGCGAGGGAGAACCCCCCACCCTGGGGTCTGATTGAAGGCTCTGACAGCCGAGAGCCAAGCATCCAGCTCAGTGAACATTTGCTGTGAAGGCTGCCAACCCACACAGCAGTTCCTCTCTTCACAGAGACTTCAAAGAATACTAACCTAGCAATGAACTGTGCTCCGGGCCTGCACATACACGGCCATTTTCCTTTCCCAGCTAGAGAACGGCAGCTTTCTAGGAACCCCATTTACAGTAACAGACACACCTTAACCCCCTTGTACAGCCTGTGACCCACGGTTTTATCTGACCAGATAACAGTCCTACGAGGCATCGATGGAGAAACTGTATAATCCTGTTTATCCAAAAGGAAGAAGAAAAGAAAAGAAGGTTCCTTGCCAACCGCTTGGGCTGTAACTTGAGAGTCGTTCAAACCACACATGGATCGATGGCCGCTGTTAGGGCGCTGAAGCCAGGGACTCTCTTAGGAGCCACACTCAGGTGCTCAGGTGTGTCCTATCCTTTCCCTGAGCGCCTCTTCTAGTTCCCATGCTTAAATCTACATTTAAATCTCTCTGTCTCCTTCTGTCTCTCTGTCTCTGTCTCTCTGTCTCTCTCTCTGTCTCTCTGTCTCTGTTTCTCTCTCACACACAAAATGCTTCACACTGGCTCTACAGAAATTCCTTTCTTCCAGAGTCAAGGATAAGGGAGCCCTCCTCAGTCTGCAGGTGGCAGTGCTGGCCTGTGTCTCCTCTGCCGAAGCGACACACAAAGCCACTGGTGGTTGAGGCGTGAAAACGGAGCCGCTGAAAGCAGCATGCTTAACCCGAGTCCTGCCTGAGACCTCCCCTTCTCGGGGAACTCTGTCGGGTTAATGCAAACACATACATCCATTTGCTCAGCCAACGAGTATTTGTTTATTGAAATCTGTGTGACAATTGTTGGCTCAGGCTGTGTTGAAATGGTGGGCAAGGCTGTCCAGGTCCCTAGTTATAGGCGTACAGACATTGTGGGAAGGATTGCCTTTTCTCCCTTTCCCCTTAGCCACATACACGAATGTGGATGGACCAGGCATGCCTCCAGCTCTGGACCTCTACTTCTGCCCCCACAATGACAGCAGATCAGAGTCGGACCACACGCCTGGCAGTCAAGTAGGGTGTGTGTGTGTGTGGGGGGGTGTTCCCGGACGCTCACCCTGAGTGGCATTCTCGGAAAGTGTCCCTAGGAGGACCTCAACCCTCAGCAGAGCAGCAGTTGGAATTAGGATGAGCCCCGACTGGGGAGCACAGAGAAGAGGGTGGTGTAGACAGAAGATCACCAAAGCCCCCAAACAAACCTCCAGTCCTCTGCTCCCCTGGCGCGTGGGGAACAGTAGCCTGTGACTGTCCCTGGGTGGGGACGGACAGGCAGCTGTAAGGTGGGATTGGAGGGACAGTGACAGGGCAAGATGGGGAAAGGCTAGAGTCTCTGCAAGGGCCTTCACCAAGTCTCCTCTCTTTGGCTCAGGCTCCTAGCGAGACGAGAGGTGGTCCATGCTGAAAGCAGCTGCTTAGCTGTAGAGATCTGTCTCCATGGCAACAGGGGTAAAGATGACACTCTGCTGGGGGCTGAGGGAGTGGTCTCAGGCTAATAAGAGACTCTAGTCTCCCACAAATCTGCTTTTGTAGCTTTTTGGACCCATGGACACATCTGAAATGGAGCTTTTCAAAATGTTTTTTAATTTCTATTTTATGTGTATGAGTGTTTGTTTGCCTGCACATACGTATATACAACACCTTCATGCCTGCTGCCCTTGGAGGCCAGAAGAGAGTGTCAGGTCCCCTGGAACTATAGTTACAGACAGTTGTGAGCCACCATGTGGGTGCTGGGAACTGAACCAGTGTCCTCTTCAAACCATCAGTCTATCCAGCCCTCTGTAGGGGAGCTTTGAAGCCACATGGTCCAGCCTGGTCCCCCTCCTCTCCCTCCTCAGACACGCTGTACAGAGAAGGCAATGGAGACCAAGAAAGTAGAGAGCTGTCCGAGGTCGCCCAACCCAGCTGAGGTGAGAGCAAACTGTAGCCACCTACTCCTGTGACGCGGAGTGGGCCTGGTCCACGCGGGCAGTGCCGGAGGAGGAGGCTGTGGTGCTCTGCCTTGGGAAGTAGAGGATGGTGAACCAGCCGAAGATGAAGACTCCTGAGGTGAAGAGAGGGTGTCAGTGAGCCTGGAACAGGCTGACACAGAAGGGCTCCACTCCAAAAATTCAAGCACTTAATGCAAGAATTAGGTAAAAACGAAACCTAGCCCTGAAAGACAGCCGACTAAAACCCTTAGAGACCACAAACATTGGCCTTGAAATAAATGGCACGCACATCTACCACAGAAAAGGGAGAGCAAAAGAGAGGTATTTTCAGACAGGTAAAACCAATGCCACTACACACTGGGCTCCCCTACCACCTCTCTGTAAAGGACTACTACAGGATGTGTTCCAGCTAGACGAGGAGGTGAGCAGAGTGTAGAAAACTAGAGCAAGTACAGGATTGCCAGGGAAGGACCAACTTGTTGTGTTTAAGGAGTTGATAATGAAAACACTATACAGCAGTAACGATATCGGGAGGTTAAAAGGTACCAAAGGGCTCTGCTATGCGTAGAGGAAGACAGGGATACCAAATAACTTAGACCCATCCGAGTGAGACATGCAGGCTTCAATATTAATGTAGCCCATGCAAGAGTAGTGATGTCAGCCGGGGCGGCGGCTGCACGCGCCTTTAATCCCAGCACTCAGGAGACAGAGGCAGGGGATCTCTGTAAATGTGAGGCCAGCCTGGGCTACAAATCGAGTTCCAGGTCAGCCAGAGCCATTACACAGAGAAACCCTGTCTCAAACAAAACAAAACAAACAAACAAACAAACAAAAAAGATTAATGGTGTCATCTCTAAGTTCAAGATGCCTCTCTCCTCATTTCCAAACCTCTGGGATTTTCCAAATGTGAGCTAATGATTATTTATCTGGGGACTATCTCAGACAGCCCTAAAGAGTGTGTGTGTGTGTGTGTGTGTGTGTGTGTGTCTGTCTGTCTGTCTGTATATTATTTTTTAAGATTTATTTTTTGTATGTATGAGTGTTTTGCCTGCATGTATGTATTTGAACCAGATATCTGCAGAAGCCAGAAGAGGGTGTTGGATTCACTGGAACTGGAATTCCAGATGGTTGTTACTTCCTGTGTGGGTATTGGGAACTGAACCTGGGTTCTCTAGGAGAGCAGCAGGTGCTCTTACCAATGAGCCATCTCTCCGGCCCATTATTTATTCATTTTTAGTTGACATACAAAGAAGTAGATTTTACTGTAACATTTTCTTTTCTTTAAAAAAAGATTTTTTTTATTTTATTTTATTTTTTTTATTTTTTGCGTACGAGGTGTTTTTGCCTGCATGAAGGTGCACTCGTATGTGTGCCTAGTGCCAGAGGAGGGCACTGGATCCCCTGGACCTGGAGTTACAGATGACTGTGAACTGCCATGTGAGCGCTGAGAACCGAACCTGGGTCCTCTGGAAGAGCAGCCTGTGCTCTCAACCGCTGAGCCCCCCACCCCCCACCCCCGGCAGGCACTAGCCGTGGCATTCTCAGGCATACTCTGTCTTGATTGATGGCCCTCTCCCCCTGTCCCCAGCTTGTACTCTTCCAGCCCCTCAGTCCCTCCCCGCTTTCACGGGACTGTGTATTCCGTTCCTTTCTCCCCACCCTCTCCCTTCAAACCTCTTTTTCCTTTCTACGCTCCCGTTCCAGTGAATGGCCTTTGCCCAGCCCCCACATGCTTACACGCATAAACCCTAAGGCTAGGGCCCCATGTGAGAGCCTCTGTGGTGTTTGGTTTCTACTGCAGTCCATACAGTGCCCATGAGGACGGGAGGCTGCCCAGCTAAAGGCACGGAGCTTCACGTGGGCCGGCCGATGCCCACGTGCAGCTAACAGCAGGGTAAAAGTGTGGTGTGTCTCCCCTTCGCTGCCTTAAACAGGGTCAGACTGGCTTCAACTGTGTACACAGACATGCTGAACATTTAAGGAGTGTTTGTCTAAAACGGTGATTTCCCGTCACGGCTGATGCGAGCCGTAGATGATTAACCAGCAGCTTTGGCAGGGTCCTTTCAGGGAGCATGGCATCAGTGCTGGCCGTCTACAGTCACTGACGGACACGTGAAGACCTAACACACCCCACCTCGCCTTTCGGACCTGTCCTTTTTCTGAGTCTTCCTGGCCTGTGGTCACCTTGGATTCCTGGAACAGCGGGTCTAACACCTGAACATGTTTTGACAAAAGCTGGAGCTCCCCCAAGGCGGGAGCCACTTTCTTATTGCAGACAGTCCCCCGTATAACTGTCCTAGGAAATGATTAATGAGACCTGGCTGTGTATGCTGTTGGCTGTCTTTTGTTCCTGTCTTGTATAATGCCAAGACCAGCATCACCCTGGAGTCAGGGCAGAAGACGCTTTTCTCCTGCTCCTCCAGGATAGCTATTCTCAGTGAACCCCTTTTCTGTTTCAGCTGGTGGACTGGGCCAAGTGGCTCTGTGTGGAAGGAAGCCAGGCCTCTGGCTTAGGACTCTGGTAATATGCCAGTGTATTGAAGGCCTCCTGGGTCCCACACATGCACGTAGCCATGTGTGGGACCCATGTGTGAGGAAGGGACAAGTTCTGACCTGGAGATGAAAGAGAATCAGAAGCACTGGATGTCTGGTGGGATGGTGGGGCAATGGTTAATGTTGATTGTCACCTTGAAAGGATCTAGAATCGTCTAGGAGACAAGCTTCCAGGCATGTCTGTGAGGGAGTTCCTAGGTCAGGTTAATCCAGGTGGGAAGACCCACCCTAAAAGTAGGGGCACCATGCCAAGAACCTGCAGGTCTGCTGACATGGGTCAGTGGGTGAAGGCACTTGCCGGAAAACCCCACAACGTGAGCTCAGCGTCTGGGACCCACATGGTGGAAGAGAACCGACTTCCACAGGCTGTCCTCTGACCTCCATGTGCATGCATACAAACACACACAAAAAAACATCATTTAAAAATTAAAAAGAGAGAGCTGAGTGCCAGCACCTGTCTGTCTCTCCATCTCCTGATGCAGGTATGATGTGACCAGATGCGTCATGCCTTCACAGTGGACGGCACTCTTGAACTATGAGCCAAGATAAGGCCTTTATTAAGTTGCTTTGGTTGGATATTTTGTTGCAACAATTAAAAAAGAATACATTTAACACATTAAAATCTTCTTTAGGATTCTATGTCGTGTCACATCAAATCACATGACCCTGCCTTCCTGGTTAGAACTGGAGATGGTCATCTGACTCAGAGTGCAGAGGCTTGGAGCAGCCATGTTAGGCAGCCATTTTGGAAAGCAGAGAGAGACGGAGTTGCCAAAGGCTGAACAAGAGACAACACTCAGCTCCAGATCAGAAGGTGGGCGTTAGAATTCCTAGCCACTCCCCGAGCTGCATGAGCACACATGCGCTGTCCAGCAGCCAGGCAAGGCGCTTAGTCATCCCAGGTAATCCACGCACAATGTGATCACACAATCTATGCACATCTGTGGCTTAGCTACATAAGCCCATATGCACATGTGCGGGGTGGGGGGACCTATAAAAGCGGGTTCCACCTATTCCTCCCCCCTCTTCCTGCACAGTCATTCCATAGGCCTATGCACACCCATTCTGTTCCCTTCCCTTAATAAACTCTTATAGTGGGTTTTGTTGTACCTTGTGGCTTTTCCCAAATGGTAAATAATGTCACTTAACGCTATTTGATGGATAACACTGCGCCACCTAATAAATAACAGTGGGGAGATCTGCTTTGATTTATGTGGCTTTTCCTGATCCTGGTCCCTGTGACACCAGCCACCCTTGCTGCCCTGGATTCCACAAGAGTCTCAGATATCTAAAGTTAGTACCTTTGACTTGAACTAGCTTCTGTGGAATCCTGTGTCCTGAAAAGTGCCCTCCCTGACCCCCAGGTCCCCCTGGTGCTGATGAGACAACCTGTGGCCCTCCCCGGAGCCTCACCTTGCAGCGAGTTGAAGAGGGCGAAGATGTAGATGGTGGACAAGCCCAGGGGGGTGAGAACAGCCAGCCCCCAGGTCATGCCCACCAGGCTTGAGAGGCCCAGAACAGTGAAGACCGACTTCCAGGTCTGCCCCCGTTCTTTGCCCGCTGTGGCACTGGGCAGAGTGACGATCTTCCAGGCCACCAGAGCCAGCACCACAGCTCCAAAGAGGAAGCTGACAAGGAAGTAGACGTGGACAGTAGCATAAAGGGCGGGCTCTTTCTGGAACCAGCACCTGGAGGAGAGGGATAAGCCACAGGGGCTGGGGAGGAAACCCCTGACCACTGAGCCGCAGGAAGCTTCCCTGGCTCGTCCTCGGCGACCAAGAAGATTGCCACCCCACCCCACCCCACTGCCCCTGGCTTTCCCGGGCCTCCTTCCTTACTTCACTTTCTGACTCTAGACTTCCACTTACCCCCTGTGCCACAGGCCAACTGCGTCTGACTATCCTTAACATTGCTGTTCTCCTCTTGGGCCTCCTTCCCTCCTTCTCTCCCTCTTGTGAAACCAAAGACCTCCAGACCCTCTGCCCCCCCACAGCCCCACTCACAGCTCCAGCGAGGTGCGGTTCTCCTGGTCTCGAATAGTGTAAACACCGTAACTGTTGCTACTCCCAACTCCAATAACCACAAGAGCAGGCAGGCCTGGGACAAGGGGAGGAAGTGGGCATCACCGGCGTTCCCTTGGGCGAGCTCCTCTCCAGTTCCCACAGCCAGCCAGCCCTCAAGCTTTGGACTTCCCTAGGCTCTTCCCCCTCAACCCTCTACCCTCCCTTCCATCCCTCCAGCCTGTGCCTACCCCAGCCCAGCAGGCTCAGCTTCAGGAAATAGTGTCCAAAGTAAGTATTGAAGACCCGGATGGCCAGCAGGTAGAGGTGGAAGGCCTCCAGGCCCATCCAGGTGAAGACACACAACAGGAAATAATGCATGACGGCAGCTCGCAACCAGCAGGACGCTGGGGAGCCTTGAGAGCTGCTCCCCACGCTGATCAAGAAGGTAAGATTCAGGAGGAACAGGCTGCCGCTCAGAGCCATGTGGATCTTAGGGGCATCTTCAGACTTGAACCTCTGCAGAGAGAGCCTGGGGCAGAAGGGCCAGGGAGCAGCCCCAAGGAGTCACAGCTCGCAGGGGGTTGCCCAGGTCGGTCTATCTCCCTGCCACAGTTCCGAGCCACAGCCAGCTGCTCTCATTCTCATGGCCGGCTCCTGTCTGACCATCAGTTCCCACCTTTGCCAGTGGTTAGCGTGAAAGTGCTCAGGTTCAAATCCATGTGCCCTTTCATGGCTCTCTGTGGGTGCTGGGTCCTGCCAACCTCACCCTTGGACACATTTCTTGGCTAAACTGTGGAACTTGTGACAACAACGGAATTTGTGTTCTCATGACCCCTAGGCTTGACCATGCAGATATTTCCCAGCAGCACAGTGAAATTCTCTGCCACCCCTTGCCACGGGGAGTCCACCCATGCTGGGCCTCAGGGCCCTGCACAGGGGCAGGGGGGCTGTGAATATGTTAGTTGGGTGAATGGATGGGAATATGGGCAGATGGATGAGGCCTAGAATGTAGCCGTGAGAGGGACTCAGAGAGGGCCAGAGACTTGCTCGGGGTCCCGGAGTCTCTACCCAGTGCTCCCTGCTTCTCTGTGGGGCTTCTCTCCCCACTGAATTGCTAGCAAATGAAGTCCAGAAGGGCTTCCACTCAAGAGATAGAGCCTAGAGTTTTCTGGAGTGGAGATAAGAGGCAAGGTCTTCCTGTGCTGCTAGGCTCCAGTTTCTTCTAGTGCTCCAAGCTCAGCTCAAGGACCCAGCACCATGGCTAGCTGGCAAGGTGCACTCAGCGCACTGAGGATGGGAACGGGGCTGGGGACTGTGTTCTGTGCCAATGCTTGGAGGGGTGGCGAGGGGAGGGATGGCATGGGTGCAGCTCACAGGGGTTGGAGCCCAGGACTGCTTGGTGACTGAGGCACGGGGGGCACATGAGAAGGGCAGTGGGAATCCCTGGACTGGAAAGACAGGAAGCCCAAAGGATGCTCCAGGTGGGTTCCGGTGAACCTGGGCTCCAGGAGCTGGAGCCAGGGAAGGATGGGGCAGAGGCTTATCCCACAGACGCCTTCAATCAGCAGGTGTGAGGGGTTCCTGGCCAGAGCCTGGCTCAGGAGAGCCAGGTGCCAGTGCTCTCTGTCCCGTGTCTGTCTGTCCTGTGCCTGTTCCTCGCCAGAGAAGCTCGCGTGTCCCTGAAGGGGCACCCTTCCCCACCTTCAGCCACAAGGAACTAAAGAAGGCGGTGGCTAGTCCCTTGTCATTTAAATCCAAGAGGAGCCAAATGGCTCGGCCGGCCTGTGTATTCTACCCTGTGACCACGGTGGTCCAATCAGTCATTGGCCTATGATCAAAGTCAGACCCTAAGGCAACTTTCATGAGATAAACATGCACACACATAGAACACCCAGCATCCCAGGAGTGTGACTGCTAGAGCTCTGTGTCCACAGGGACCACATGCCTGGCTAACGTTCAGCCTTCTGTTGCAACTATGGACACTCTGAACACTGGGCCATGTAGTTTCATTTAGACAGAGCCTTGCAAATCATATCCCCATTCCTGTGTGAATGTGGCCACACAAACACACATGAATGCCCTCAAGTGCACACACATACATAGATACACACACACACACACACACACACACACACACATGCATGCCTGCACACATAGATGATGTCTAAAGCAATGGAAGTGAAGGGGTCTTGAGACTTCTTAGCCATGCTCTGCCTCTGGTAACTTCCTGGCTTTGATAATACTCTACAGTTACACATGACGTGATACTTGGGGAAGTTCCAGGAAGGAACCACAGACTGTCTGTGCAGTTTCTGCCCTCTGCAGTTAGTCTATAGTTATTTCAAAGTGTTTGTTTTTAAAGACCTTGATTCTAGAGCTTCATCTTTGCTTGAATGTCTAAGGAACAGTTCTTGAGGAAAGGGTGAAATTAGCGTCCTGACAAGGGAGAGAGAAAAGCTGTGAAAGGTAGGGTCCAACCCTGGGGGGCCTCAGTGGGAGCCCCTAGTTCTAGCCCTGCCTGGGGGCCGCACACTGTGAGTTTCCTAGTTCCATGAATCACTCGTGCCCTGTGTTGGCCAATCTGAGTTGAGTTTCTCCTACTTTCAACTTCAGGCTCTGGCCCCACCTTGTCAGGGACACAGACTAAGGACCAGAGAGGACAGCTGAGGCCACAGGACAAAGACACTCTGTCCCTTTCCTGTACCTCCCTGAGGGCAGGAGTGGGGGTGGGGTCACTCACCTGAGGGCAACATAGAGAACGATGGTGAGAGCCAGGAAGATCATGGAGACTCCACAGCCTGCTTGGGAGATGTGAGTGAGAGTCTGTGCTGTGGCCAGGTCCAAGATCGGCCTCTGTAAATGACCCCAAGTCTGAATCAAGCCACTGAGAGACCAGGCTCGCACGTCTCCCAAACCCCGGTCAGCCAGGAAGCCTCTCCCGGGACAGAGGCCGGACCTCTGGGGTCAGGATGGCATGGGCTGTTACCAGCAGCAAGGCGAAGAAGGTCAAGTGGTCGCAGCGGCAGACAGTCCTCTCATCCCCGGGCTCTGTGGAGCAGCCTTGGGTATCCCAGTTTCCTGGGCCACAGAAAGGTAAGGGCAGAGGAGGGGGAGGGGCAGAGAGAAGGGAGGGCCTGCCTCTCCCCGCACCTTCAGCCCTATGGAGAGTTTCTCTTTCTAGGAAAGTCTTCCAGACCTACCTTTAGCCACATCCCAGAACACACACGTGAGGATCATATTCTGAAACCAGAGAGCGCGTGTCAGGAGAGGAAGGAGGAAGGAAGGCAGGGAGGAGACAGGGCATTCCCAGGGGCCTGCATGTGCCTTTTGAGGAAGACCTCTGTAGGCTGCATGGGAAGATGGGCTGCATCCCTGGGGGCTGATGCTCCCTGGACCATTGCTGTGCATGTGGGAGACACAACATCCAAGGCATGAAAGGGTTTGCCTGTCTGTGCACGCATGCCTTCAGGATCATTGTCTGGTGGGCGAGGAAAGCATGCACACAGATGCACTCTCCAGGTCCTCATACATTTATGAACATGGAAGTGGGAGGGTGCGGGGGCATGTGTGTTCACACAAGCAGGGCAGATTGTGCATGACCCTGGTGGTTTCTTCTGGGTACAGGGCATAAGGTCCCACGCATGGCTTCTCAGAGCTCATGCACTGTGTGCCCCACAGTAACTGCCAGGCCTGGGCAGAAGACTCACAGGGGGTTGGCGCTGGTGGGAAAAGGTGATCTCCACCGGCTCCGACAGTCCAGTGGCATGCATCTGGCCCACACTCAAGCCCACCATGCGGCTGTTCAACACGCTGCCACCATTGTCCTGGAGGAGCTTGGGGCCCTGGGAGGGATTGACAGGAGGCTAGGCTGTAGGATGGGCTGACTTTACCTGCCCTAGATAGGGGTCTAGGGAACTCTAGGACACCCCCCTCATCTGGAGTCAAAGTCTGAGACTAGGGGACCAGGGATCCAGGGACTCAGGGGCATAGGCAGCTTTCTTCCTGATGCTCCCTGTAACATGCTGGGCTGGGCTGGGCTGGGCTGGGCTCTAGACTCCATATCACCTCACTGAAAGCCAACCCCTGATATCTCTGAACTGGAAGAACCTGAGGCTAAGATCAGCCAGGAGATGGGGTAAATGCCAGCGAATGCCTCCAGGTGCAGGGATGAGTGCATCCAGACCCAAGGGTGTATATATCTAGCTTAAGCAGATGGATGCATGCCTCAGGAGCACGCATCTGGCATGTGTTGTCAAGGGAGAGCATGTTTGTCCATATAGACACAGTCATATGTGAGCACACCTGATTATATGTCTCGGGGATACAAAAGGGCATGTGTGTTTATGTGTGTGCAAGGACACACAAGCGTGCATGAGCACACTTGGACTTCATACACAGCCGCCAACGGGTGCTGATGTCAGGATATCGGAATAGTCTTCAGTCCCCAGACTGTAGAAGTGGCTCATGGATGGCCTGGCTGCCTTAGAAACCATCTCAGGGACCCTGACCCACAGCGTATTTAACTGCAGCTTCCTGAGCTCCCAGCATGCCTCTTACCTTGAAGACATCCCCTTCACTAATGTTCAGAATAGTTATGGCCAACTGGACAGCAGACCCATTGCCAGGCAGGAGGGCTCCAAACAGGCTCTTGGGAAGTCGGACTCTGTCAGCGGGCTGTTCCTCACCCTGCATCACCTGCTTTGGGATCTGTAACCATGGACCCAGAAGCTCTCACCTTACCCGGAGGATTCCAGCCCCCACTCGGGTGCTGCTACCATCCCGGTTGGGAGAGAAACTGCAGTGTGCCAGGTGAAAGGGGCAGCATCTGGAGGTCTCTAAGTTCTGGGGGTTGGAGACGGGGAGCAGAACACCTGGCTCGGTCCAGGCTCTGTTCCTCATGGGCTGGGCCCTTGGGCAGGCATCGACAATGGGGCCCCAGCTTCCCCATCACAGAGGCCAGCGGAGCACAACTGTGTTGGTGCAGCCACGCTCTGCTTTTAAGTGTGGGGAGGGCCAGTGGGGATGTCCTGGAAGGAAGCAAGGGGAAGAGTGTGGAGACAAGGGACTCGTGTTTACCTTGAGTGTGAAGTCCTTCCTGCCCAACAGTGAAGTGTTATAGACACCGAGAATAGTTAGAATGTTAGAACAAACCTCCCCAGAAATCACCAGGCAGCCTTTGTCTAGTCTCTGACCTCCCGGCTGCCCGGGGCCATCAGCCTGCACCCACCTCTGCTTCAGCAGGATCCAAGCTCATAGAAACAGGGAGCTAAGAGTTGGGGCTGAAGGCCCAGTTTCACACTCCTAGTCCAGATCTTGTTAAAAGGACACGTGGGTGATATCTTGAGCTATGGCGTACCCTACCCAGAGGATACAGCACCATAAAAGGCTGAGGAAGTTGGGTGATGAGCAACTCAGTCAGATGCCTGGTCTCTGCCCTCAACTTCATCCCTTCAGGGAGGCTGGGGACTTGCTGAGCCCTCAATGGACCAAGAATTCCTTGGATATTAATTTAGGTGTGCTTTCCAATATGTTTTTGTTTTGTTGTTTTTGAGATGGAGTTCATCTGTATAGTCTGTGTTGGCCTGGAGCTCAGGAGCAATCCTCCTGCCTCTTCCTTCTAAGGGCTGGGATAATGAGTATGCATCATCCTGCCTGGCTTCTGATACTCTTGAAAGTGGGCAATATTCTCATCATTTGCAGGTGAGAAAACTGAGGGTTGAAAATGTAATGTGCCCATGATGGAAATGGCTGGTAAGGGCAGAGGCGGAGTTCTCTGGGCCAGTGTAAATCTAGAGCCCTCCCACTCAATCTCTCTGAGGCCAAGTGTGCCCTTACTCTGACTTCAGATCTATACTCTGGCAGAGAGGTTAATGGGCACTTGAGGCTTGGAGGAGCCAGAGACTCATTTTCCAGATGAGCACCCAAGGCCTCTGGGAGAAAGAGGACTTTCTGAGGACATCAAGGGCAGTAGCAGGAGGGCCAGTTCAGGGATCTCCCAGCACCCTGGCTAATCCACCACCAGGTCCCACTCATTCAGTTACTTCACTGGCCCTGTTAATGAGTGACAGAGCTATGAAGAACATGACTTAGGAGGGATAAGCTTTGATGGACACCAGCCACCAGGAAGCTCTTCACCTGGGAGGGCATCAGAGAGAACAGCAGGTCTTCTGAGACATCTGTGCTGATGTTCTGAATCAAGGCCTTAACAAAAGGCAGGTCCACAGTCTCCATGGAATTCTCCAACAGGTAGGACTCATATTTCAGCCAGTATCTGCAAGGGCCAAGGGATCAGGGAGGAGGAGCTTGCAGGCCGAGCCACCCACTCCTCAGGCTCTTGGGGTGATGGCTAACCTAGACTATCAGAGATGGTTAACCCAGACTATCAGAGATGGTTAACCCAGACTATCAGAGATGGTTAACCCAGACTATCAGAGATGGCTAACCCAGAGTATCAGAGACTCTGGATCCATAATGTGAGGAAGAAGAATGGCTTGGAAATTGATCCTGAAGGAGTCCAGCTAAAGATCCTAGGATATCTTAATGTTTGTCTTTCAAAATGCTTATTTATTTTGTGTGTATAAGTGTCTTGTCTGTGCATATGTATGTGTACCATATGCATGCCTGGTGTCCTTGGAATTCAGAAAAGGGCATCAGATTTCCTGGCACTGGCATTAGAGATGGTTGTGAGCTGTGCATGCTGGGAAGCAAACCTGGGTCCTTGCAAGAGCAACAAGCGCTCTTAAGTGCTACGGCATCTCTCCAGCCCATGCTTATCTTGTAAAATAGTAAATGTCAGAAACAATCCATTCATTAACCATTCCAGCATGTAGTATTGAGTGGCACTGAGCACACTCACGGAGCTCTGAAACCATCGCTACCGTTTACCTCAGAACAGCCCCACCACCACGGAAGGGAACCGCATGCTCACTAAGCAGCTACCCTTGCCCCTTCCAGCCCCTGGAAACCATTCACCTAATTTCCTTTATGCTTCTGTAAACTGCCCCCTCTTCTTCTTTAAACAAGGTCTCATGTAGCCTAGGCTAGACTTGAACTCACTGTGCAGCTAAGAATAACCTGAACTCCTGACCCTCCAGCCTCCTCCTCTAGAGTGCTGGGATTACAGGCTTTTGTTAACCACACCCATTTTACAGTGTTAATTTTTTTTTTTTTTTTGCTTACTTGATAAGCATTTTACTAACCTAGCCACACCCCACCCAATCTTTGCCTGTTTTGAATTTACAGAACATTGAAGCACACACTACATGGTCTTCTGAGTCTGGCTTCTTACACTTAGCACATTGTTCTCCATTCATGAATTGCGACTTCAGTCCTTCTGAATGAAACACACCCATCTACTGATGGGCGTATAGATGCACTCCTCCACTGATGAGCACATATGGATCTTTGGATATCACCATTGACGGGCACAAGGACCTTTGCATCCATCCTCTGATGTACATACAGCTCTGTGCACCCACCCACTGATGGGCATTTGAATATTTCCCACTGTGATGGACAGTGTTTGTCAACTTAGCCCAAATTAGAGTCACCTGGGAAGAGGGCTGAGAGATTGAATCCATCATATTGTCCTACCGGCATGTCTGTGGGGCATTTCCTTGATTAATGATTGATGTGTGCCCAGTCCACTATGGGTGGTACTGTCCTTGGACAGGTGATCCTGGGTTGTATTAGAAAGCAAGCTGAATGAGTCATGGGGAATGAGCAGCAAGGAGCATCCTTCCAAATTCTCTGCTTTAGTTCCTGTTTGAGGTCCTGCCTCTGACTCTCCTTAGTAATGATGGACTGTGTTGTGGACATGAAAGTCAAATAAACCCTTTCTTCCCATAAGTTGCTTTGGGCTGTGGTGTTTATCACAGCGACAGAAAGCAGACTGGAACATCCACCTTTCAGCTATTGTGAATAGGTCTGCTGTGCAAATTCATATATGAGCATTCATGGAAGACTTATTTTAAATTCTTTGGCATGTACACAGGAGTAGAATTGTTAGGTCATATGGTAATTCTCCATTTAGCTTCTTGAACAGCTACCAAATGGTTTTCCACAGCAGCTGCACCATTTCACACTTGCTCCTGCAGTGAATGGAAGCCCCAGCAGCTCCATAGCTTTGCCAACACAATGGTTTTGTTTTGTGTCCTTTTTAACTGCAGCCATACTTATGGGTATAAAGAGGTGTCTCATGGTAGTTTTGATTTGTATCTTTTTAATGACCCAGTGAGGTTGAGCATCTTCTCTTACACTTTTGGCTTTGCATATCTTATTTGAATAAATCTCCTTGGGCACATTTATTGAGTGCTAATTGTATATTAAAAATTCAGCATTTGAAAACTGAGCCACACAGACCAGCAAGATGCCTCAGTAGACAAAGGCGAATGTTGAGCACGCTGATGACCTGAGTTTGATTCCTGGAACCCACATAAAGGTAGAAAGAGAGAAATGACTGGATGAAATTGTCCTCTGGCCTCCACAAGTATGCAGTGACATGTGTGCCCCACCCACATCATAAACACAATAATGAATACATCTTTGGTTTTTTTTTGTTTTGTTTTGTTTTTCGAGACAGCATTTCTCTGTGTAGTTTTGGTGCCTGTCCTGGAACTCACTCTGTAGACCAGGCTGGCCTTGAACTCACAGAGATCTGCCTGGCTCTGCCTCCTGAGTGCTGGGATTAAAGGCGTGCGCCACTGTTGCCAAGCCATCTTTGGGCTTTCTTCTTTATTTTTCTTTCATTTTTCTTTATCAAGAAATTTTCTACTCACTCTACATATCAACCACAGATCCCCCCTCCTCCATCCTCCCACCCTCCAGCACTCCCTCCCAAGCCACCCCACACCCCCCAAATCAAGGTCTCCCATGGGGAGTCAGCAGAGCCCGGCACAGTGAGCCTAGGTAGGTCCAAGCCCCTCCCCACTGCACCAAGGCTGCGGAAGGTGCAAGGCATCACATCCCAGGCACCGGGCTCCCGAAATCCTGCCCATGCACCAGGGATGGATCTCCATGTCCCTGCCTGGGTGACTCCCAAACAGTTTGAGCCAAACAACCACCTTTCATATCCAGAGGGCCTAGTCCAGTCCCACAAGGGCTCCATAGCCACTTGTCTACAGTTCATGGGCTTCCACTAGTGTGGCCAGTCATCTCTGCACATTTTCCCATCATGATCTCAAGTCCCCTGCCTTCAGAATCCCTCTGTGTTTTCTTAAAAGACAGGTCTCATTATGTAGTCTTGGCTGGACTTACTATGTAGATCAGGCTACCCTTAAATTCATAGATACTGAATTAAAGGCATATGCCATAATACCTGGCTTAAATAAGTGTGTGTGTGTGTGTGTGTGTGTGTGTGTGTGTGTGTGTGTGTGAAAACTAAGTCCAGTGGTGGTGGTAGTGCACTCCTTTAATCCATGCACTTGGAAGGCAGAGGGAAACAGATCTCTGAGTTCAGCCTGGTCTACAGAGCAAATTCCAGGACTATACAGAGAAACCCTGTCTTGAAAACCAAAAAAGAAAGGATGCAAGGAAGGAGAAATGAATGAAGGAAGGAAGAAGGAATGAAGGAAGGAAGGAAAGAAAGAAAGAAAGAAAGAAGGAAAGAAGAAAAGAAGGAGAGGAGGAAAGAAAAAGAAAGTAAGAGAAAACTGAGCCACATGGGAACTGACTGACTGCCTGCCTGGGAGCAAGCAGATAGTATTCCAGAAAACACAAAGGCTGTTGTCACTCATTCTACAGGGCGGGAGGGCTGGTGTCGCTCTCCGTGGTGCTGAAATTTAGAAGCGTCCCTGCGCTTGGGTCTCTTTCCCTAGCCCAGGACCCTAATTGCTACCTTCCTAGCGCTGTGACCACAGCCATGTGTGTCCCACCTCTTGCTTAAAATCTTTAAAAATTACCTTTATTTATTTTTTATTGTGAGGCTGACACTGCATGCCACAGTTTGCATCTGGAGATGAGAGGACAACTTGAAGGGATTTATTCTCTCATTCTGCTATGTGGGTCCTAGGATTTGAAGTCAGGTCGTCAAGCTTGTGTGTCAAGAGCCTTTACCTGCTAGGCCATTTCTCCAGCACTTCCCCCGCCCAGTTTTTTAAGTGTAGTCCTAGAGATCAGAACTCAGGTCCTCACGCTTGTGCACAACACACAACACACAACACACTGATTGAGCCATCTCCCCAGCCCCCATTCACTATTCACCTTTCCAAGAAATCCTGGACAGGTGAAGGCTGAGGTGGTGATAGGAGACAAGAGAGCTAGAGAGAGATACACCCAGACTGAGGCCATGGAGACAAAAGGGAATTCTCTCTCTCTCTCTCTCTCTCTCTCTCTCTCTCTCTCTCTCTCTCCCCCCCTCTCTCTCCCTCCTCCCTCTCTTTCTCTCTGCCGTGGGGATGGAACTCAAGATCTCAGGCACACTAGGCAAGTGCTCTACCACTACCCTACACCCCAGCCCATGTCACTGTTTTTTCATAGACAGTTGTCAAGGAGAAAGGACCCTATAGAGACAACAGAAAATAGATCCCAGAATAGAAAAGTAAACCACACAAAAATATGCAAGTATTATTGGATGGAGACAGCATAAGAAAACCATTGGACCAAAAACAGGGATGCGGGGATAAATCCATTGAGCAACACATATTATTCTGCTTTGATTTGCCTTTAATGGTCAGAGAAGTGTTGGCTTTTGTTGGCACCAAATAAAACAGAAAATTGTACAAGTATTGAGATTTTTTTTGCCACATAAAATGGCAAATAGTGAACTGAATATGTGTTTATATATGTCCCTACCTTGTGTACTTAAAGACCTTTCTCACTTTTGCAAAATAACCCAATTCCCTGTCCTAAGGAAGATTCCCCAATGTGGTTCTCAGGTCCAGTGAATTGTCATTATTTTATGATCCTTTGGTGCCGGCCCCTCCTCCTCTGTGAGACAGGCCCAGACTGGCCTCAAGCTCCCAGCCCCCTCCCTCCACCTCCCGAGGCTAGGATTACAGATGTGCACCACCACCAGAGCTTCCAATCATCTTGAACATAAGTGGGACACTCCCATTCAGAAGCAGTCTCCACATCACACTCCCTCATCCAGTCTTTCTAATGGGCTCAATCCAGATGTCTGCCTCGTTCTAAGCTGCTGCTGATGACCTCTCCACAAGAGGACAGATAGAAACAAGCTATTCGTCGGATCCCCCACACCCACACCCTATATAGACCAGACCGTGCAGATACAATATGTTGCCGTGACCACCCTCTGTCAAAGAGTGACCTTCT